TTTGCGAGTTCTTGTTGCTGCTGCTCGAAGTGTGCTCTGCAATCAGAAACCCAGCACTACTGTTGGGGATGTTGAGATTTGCTGCTTCTAAGAACGAGAAAGAGTGACTTAGTGTTGCTGTCACTTCATTTTCTGAGACACAACGACGTGGAAGTTTGTAGGTAGGAAGCAGCCATGATCTCGAAGTGTATCGGCAATCATTCACTTTATGTGTACGTTTTTTTACTTGTTCTGTTTAAGCTGTCTTTCCAGCCTCTCCCTCTTCTTTGCCTCCTCATCAGCAGCAGCGCGCCGATCTTGCAACTGCTCCTGAGTAGTGTACAGCTCCTGCAGACCTGTGAAGACCCACCACTGACCTGCGAAGGCTAAATAGCCCCCAAGGCAATGCTTCGAGTATTCAGTTAGTGAACTATCAGCACTATGGCAGGCAGAAGGCAGGCAGCGCCGCACAAATGTTAGCTACGGAGCAGTAAAACATCCTCCTTTGGCTTGTGGTTCTGGCGCTGCACCGATAGTAATGAACGCTCAGCTCTCCTGCTGGCTTTGTGGGAGTAGTGGGAACGCAGACGTGCCCTTAGCTAGTTTGGTTTCGAGATCTTTGATGGTCTTCATTGCCTCAACGTTATCTCTTGTGAGGGAGTCACTAGTAGACGTAAGTCTATCAGTCACTGCAGAATGAATGCATATTCACCAAAATGCAGACTGTCCTTCGCATAATGGGCAGTTTCTATTTGCNGTAAACAACAGGAAAATCCGATGCTCTCAACGACGATTTACTTGACTGTAGTTTGTCTCGCTCTTGCAGCAGTTCGTTCAACCGGGCATTTTGTTGTAGAGAACGTTGTTCTTCTTCGTCTATCCTCCTGAAAGCCTCACGCAATTAGGTTTTCATTAGGGTGACAGAGGCAATGGTGAGAAAAGCAGGGACTCGAATCAAAACGTACTTGTAGAGTTCTTCGATCTGCAAACGAAGTTGATTGGCTGCCTTTGTCTCCGCAGCCTCCCGCGCCTTTCCGTTAGCAACCTCTATCAAGGAGGCGCTTAAGTCCTGGAGGAGCACAGAATACTGTGGAAGTATTGAGTATTGCTGTGAGCAGAATTCTAGTCCATGGGAAAAAGCGCATATAGCGGATCGAGCAAAAATGGCACGAACCGTATACCTATCTAATTCAACTGACTCGTTTCAGTCTCTTGATTGTTTCCTCTTCTCCACTGGCTTCTTTAAGCGCTGCGTGCACCTGCAACGCGTTAGCTTGTAGAGCGGTGCTCAGATCCATACATCTAAATCAGCATAGAAAAAGACGAACAAGCCGAAAGCACAGATGGGCGAGGGCGGAACAGCCAGGTTGGAATCATGCGAGATTCCTGCTAATTCTGCAGTTTTAGAAGGACTTGCCGCTGCAGCGCACTTTGCCTTGAGCTCCAGTTCATTTTTCTGAGAGGCTTTAAGTGCCTGATGAAGCTTCTCGTATTCACGTCTCAAAAATTCTAGCTCTGGGTAAGACGCCAGCTCCTGTCATGCATAGAGTAGAGCATGAAAAGAACAGTAGATTGAGACTGCGGCAAAATTCAGAGACTGGGTCTCACTGCTCGCCTCAGCGAGACTGCACCAAAATTCAGAGACTAGGTCTCACTGCTCGCCTCAGCGATAGTTAGCTGGCCTTTTGCGAGAACACCATTGCAACGTTACTCGTTCGTGCTGCTACTTGTGCTGCTCGTCACCTTCAGCACATCCTCGCGTTCATTCTCTTGGGCCCTCATGGTTAGCTGAGCTATGTAGGAATCGTCCGCACTCAAATTATCCACTTTTTCGACATGTTCTGTAGTTCCCGCGGCTGAGGAATCCGTAACCACTGGAGCCTTCGTCGTACCGTTGCCCTCTGAGCTGAGGGCCGGATATGCTAATTGTTGTTGATCATCGGGAGAAGCGTCAGNGTCGTACCGTTGCCCTCTGAGCTGAGGGCCGGATATGCTAATTGTTGTTGATCATCGGGAGAAGCGTCAGTAGGAGAAGCAAATACTGCGCCAGAGTTGCCCTTTTCGCCGTCTGCATCCGGGGCCGAGCAGACAATTACTGTCCCTCCGTTATCGGCGTCGTCGTCCACAGACCGAAGCAACTCCATGGCACGCCGCTGCTCTACATCCCCTAAATCGTGTTCCTGCTGCTGTCTCTGATCGGACTGCTGGCTACTAACCTGAGCAGCATCGGGAGCTGCTGCTGCACCTGATTGCTGCTGCTGTGACTGGGGCAGATGGTCCGAACTCCGACGCGAGAGGTCGGACGCTTGCGTTTCGCGGACCACATCTTCAGGAGTGGCGCCGTCTCCAGAAGCGTTCGGCATGTGTGTCTGTGCAGTTGCCGGTGAGGTGTCTGTTATGCTCTCCGTCGGCTTTTCATCAAGGGCGTAACTGGCGCTCCGTTTGCGGTCCATTTTCCTGAAGGGCCGCCGGTGCCTTCCGTAATTCTAGTAGTCGCCAAGTCACAGACCCTCGACCTATATAAAGCACTGTGTATCCCTATCGAGATGGTAAGGAATGCTACGTTTCCAGCACTGCATGTGTAAAAGCCCTCTCTCGTCGTGAGGAAACTAGCGTTTCTTGACAGTCCCACTAGCTAAGATCTCTCCTCTAGCTCCCATCAATAGAGTTCCTCACTTACGACACAGAATGACAATATTTACACGGGTATTAGCAGCTGCGGCTGCTGCTGCTGTGGGGAAACTCCAGAACGGTGACTTGCGCTGAGGGATGCCAACAGAGTTGCAGCTGCAGCAGGAACAAACATTGGGGAGCTTCGTCTGGGTGAAACCCGACGGTTCGCCTATTGGATAGAATGGATTTCTCCTTGCTGTGCATCCAAAGTTCCCAGTGCGGTTGGTTCAATGCTCGTTCCCATAGGATCGGGGCTGAGGCCGAAGATGGCTTTGCGTTTGCTTGCTCCGCTTGCTCCTGCTCAAGCTTTATAAACGATGTTTTGTCTTATACCCCAGTTAACTTGAATATTCTTTTTTGTGGTAAAAATAATTGAAAATTGCCGCGTACTGTCCGTAAAATCGGCCGAGCCGCTGACTGCGAGCAGCTGGACCCAGCAGGGTCACTCCACCAGACTAATTCGCGAACCGTACGCAGGACCTTCGTTTCACAGAGGAAAATACTTGTGCCAGTGCCTCCGCCATACGCCGTGTGCGCGTCAAGGTTGACCACTCTTTAGGCAGCTTGTTGCCTGTGGACACGGGGACGTGGCTCCCGTCAAGCCTTTCGGAGAACAAATGCTACCATTGAAAGCTCCCTACCTAAAACTATTCATTTTTAAGACGAACTTAGGAGTGAACAACATTTGGCGCCTCCTGAATGTTTCTCCAGGCCTCGCCGCACCTCATGCCACCAGCGGTACAAGTGAACTTTGGTAGTAGCAAGGCTGGCGATGGCCGCGTTTTAGCTTGAGACAGCGGAGCAAATTGCTGGCCATTAATCGACTTAGAGGCAAGCCGACAAACGCAAATTTCTGGTGGAGCGGGGATAAGTGGGGGCAACGCTCTAGCAGGTCATCGACGGTCCACTTGCGCCACTTCCCGCCTTCTGAGGCGGAATTGCTGTTGCATAAGGAGAGGCGAAGAGCGGGGACAGAACACGCAAATACTGCGATGCTGCATTCAGCGAGGAAACGTTTCTCCTCTTGAATCCAGT